GCTTTCTTTGTTGTTGCTTGTCAGTTTTTTGTTACATCTGTAGTGTGAAGCTGACAGCTGTGTCTTTCCCTTTAGTACTGCGAACAATGCTATTTGCCCTAATTTGGTTAATTTCACAGGCATAAACAAGGTGAAACATTGCACTCATAATATTCTGTAAAACTTGGTTTAGAGCTTTTTTTTTAGGAATGTAGCAGTACCATTATCCAACACAGGAGTATATTATGTAGAAGATATGATTACCATTCCCTTAAAGTTTTAAAATTAGCGTGAGCTATATTATGCTGTAGCTGTTGCTTTGGATTTTCTAGAAGCAGTGTTAAGTAAAAGTGAAAGCAAACTTCAACTTGATTTTATCGTGTGATTTTGTTGTAAATCGAAAGTAATATTAAATTATTTTGAGACAGTTAGAAATGTGCTCTATTTTTTAATTTTCTGTATTTCCGTATAATTATTGTTTAATCCCCCATTATATCCGTGATTTAGATGGCGTGACGAGTGAGGAGTGACTCTACACCCAAGCATAATTTGTTGCGGATACCCAAACAGTCACGCAGTTGAGTTTGGCTTTGTCACGTAACGTTGTCCTCACTTGTAGCTCTCGCATATACGCCTTCCTCTCCTTCAGTTATTTTTTATCACAAAAAGGTATTTTTCACAACTTTGTCCTTAGAAGTTGGAAATGATATGAGTTTGAGCCAAGAAAGAACGAAGTAACGTTTCGTTAGTCAGATAATGGATTTCATTGTGTTGTTTTATTTCAACCAGTAAACACACAGAAAATGCTAAATCTGATACCGGATAAAAGGCAAACAAGAGTAAAGAAGGCGAAGAATCTGGCCATCGGTCCTGGTGTATGAAGCAGTGGCTCTCGTGCTTATGCAACGTGCTCTTCACGGCGATATTGAATGTTTTGGAGAATCATTTTAAACTCCATCAGATACTTAAGACAACTTATTTCTTTATAATGTTGCAAACTCTGTGGCTGCACTGACCTAACTAAGTTTGAAAACGTAAATGGAAAAACTAACCTATTGGCTTGCTTATTGAGGGCAAATGTTACGTGTCATGACAAATGATTATCTGCAATAACGGTTCTAATTTCTTCTCAAAGCACTAGCGGTAATCTTAGTAAACTTTACTTGTTGAGGTTAGTTCCATCAAACCAGACATTGCTTTCAATCTTCACTTTACTTGCAACTTCTTCGCCATCGATTCCAACAAATTTGATCTCGTATTTTTGATTCTTGAGTGGATCTTTCACATCGTCATGATCTTCTGGCCAGGATCCACTGATCTCAGGCAAGTTGACCTCAATGCCTTTCTTTAGCAGGAGATCTTTGCTGCCTTCTGAGCCTACTCCCTTGGGAATGCCATCCAGTTTGACTATCTGCGGTCAGTAAAGAATATAGTAAAACAGAAAACCGGTTGGAAAAACGCGCTTGTCAGCTTGTAATCGATCAGTAATCCGCAGGCAAAGTGGTTCGATTCCATCGGAAGTGAAGTGGAGTCAATTTTAATAAAATAATTTCGATATATCAACAAAGTTGAAATGGTAAATTGGCCACCGTAACGATTACAAAAGCTGACGTTTCGAGCGTTGGCCCTTCGTCGGAGCGAATGACGAAGGGGTAACGCTCGAAACGTCAGCTTTTGTAATCGTTACGGTGGCCAATTTACCATTTCAACTTTGTTGATATATTCAAATTATTTCGTTACCCCCACCGACGCAGCACCAAACAGTTTCTTTAGAAACTATCAGCCTTTAAACGGTAAATACTTTACATTGTGTGGTAACATGCAATCAGATTGTTACAAGAATTTTGGCGTCAGGCAATTGATAAAAAAGCCCACAGGTCCGGATGGGAAGTTGGAGATCACACTCGCCTCAACCCCCCCCCTCTGACCCTCCCCATGTATCCACCATAAGTGTTGTCTCGAAACTGCCTTGAAATAAAAATTTTTTGTATTCTTCATGAAAATATTTACCTGGAGGAAGTCAGGATTCTTAGTTGGAATATGGAACAAGAAAGCGTCCTTCTTATCACCATACATGAAATAGGAAAGGAACTCTGGGTACTCATCGTCATCAAAGTGTTCGTACTGTGGGACATCCACCACCTTCAAGTTAGCTGTCATGAAAGGCTTACTTCCACGAGAAGGCAGTCCGATGAATAAATCAAACACTTCAGCTTTATCTCCGTACTCCGATTCTCCAAAAAACACATCATATAGCGTACTTTTTTTGCTTCGGAAGACAATTGGGTTGGGTTCGGTGCTGGTAGCCATCACAGAGTCCTGCTTGGATGTGTACTCTTTGGCTTGACTATCTAAGTTAAACTGCAAAGTGGCGACAGTACCATACTGCTTGGAGATGTTGTTGAAGTTGCCTGCGTAATAAACGATGACTTGGTGCTCATCGTTAACCACTCCTGTACTGACAAAGTCATGATGGGACTTGGGATCTTTAACCTGACATTAAAAAAACAATTTGACCATTTCATCGACTTCCTGATTAAAGAATCCTCAAAAATGTTTATCCTCAAAGGCATAACTATACCGTACATTTTCGAATCAAGCTTTGTAAAATTGTGCCCGGAATTTTGAACGGACCTGGCATAACGAGTCGACAGGTTTTTCTCTGATCTTTACGTTAACAGAGGATTTTCTTGCCTCATTTGTAACTAAAGATCTTGTAGTCGCTTTCTTTGTTGTTGAAAGGTTTGTCTTTTGGAGAAAGTGTTAAAGTATGCGTATTGGTATCGTATTGTTAGAAGTTTGTTATATTCTACGTTACCCTTCCAATGGCACAGAGAATGCTGTTCCTCATGATAGAAGCCAAGTCATCCAAGAATTCGACGGAAGTTGCCCATGGATCCATGCAAGTGGTAATAAGGAACTTGACAGAGGAATCACCCTTTGGATCAAGCTGGAATGGGAACCAATTTCTGGTGTAAATGTGCAAACACAGATTTCTGGCATATGAATGGTGTGTGTTAAACTGCTAGTCACATTAAACTGAAGATCGATGATAAGAGGTAGTCCACCCGCATGCTATTTCTCCTGTGTCACAATTACAACTACACTTTGCGAGAAGAATCCTAAGGATTGCATTGATTTTTTGGTTTACTCCGCGCTGTGACTGGTCCAGAAAACTCGTGCTACCCTCTCAACCAATCAGATGAAAAACTAATACCAATCACGACATGTTGGTCGTCCGCGTTTTCCCGCGCTTTACAGTTTGGTTGGTTTTATACTCCATGGCTCTTACAGACATTTTTCTTTCTTATGTTTGGCTGTTGTGATGACTTTAGGTTTGGTTTTACAACACTCAACCGAAAAGCGACCTTATTACTTTGTTTACTATGAACGTCACAATTACCATAATAGTGTCCCCTTACCCCCAGCCTCTTTTTAAAGTTCTTCAGAGCAGAGCTGTGCTTGTGGTGAAGCATGCTAGATGATGTCACAATCATTGGAATTCGATGTGCAGTCCTTTCTCCTGAGGAATGGCTGAGGCCTTGAAATATCGCCATATTGAGGGAATTGCAGACGTCGACGCTTTTATTTCCCTTTAAATTGACGGTAAAGCACGAAACCAGCGTGTCTGGACCAACCTCTTTCAAATACTCCATGGCTTCATCGTCCTGTTTTTTAAAAAAACGAACAATTCGTAATCCGCCATCCCTTATACCCCCATATTCATGAGCGGGTACTTCACAGCACAACACAAATGTGTCTGCGATCAGGCAAATCTTCTCACTGCACACTTGTCAGGACTAAGCGTTTTAAAAATTTCGTTACCGTTAAGTATCAACCTGTGTAAAGTATTATGTGTATAAAATTTATTTAGGTTTCCAGTGTGTATGCTTTTAAAACTGTACTAGTAATTCAGCCTTAGGCTGCAAGTGGTCCGAAATAAACTATATTATTATTATTATATTATTATTTTATTATTATTATTATTATTATTATTAACTGAGTTCACTTATGAATTTCCATTTACGATTCTTGAGATACCTTGGCGAGTTCTTCGTTATTTTTACCAGTGATTCTTTCTCTGATAAACTCCTTCTGCTTCTTCTTCGACATTCCCTTCCATGAAGATGGCAGCGGTTTAGTGGTTTCAATGATAAACTGGTCATCCTCTTCAGGGAGGGTCATCCAAAGACAGTACAACATTTTAGCAGTGAACGTACATTCAGACAGAATCCTACCATAGCCATTTCTGTGCAGACCAATAACCTATTCAAAAGTTAAGAGGTGTGATTGGCATGTAAGCCATTACCGCAAAAGATTACAACACAAGTGCAACAGGTGGCAACACTAGGATTATGTTTCTCTCGTAAAAAAAACACCTAATGGCCACATTCGTTACTAGGAGCGGGAGCAGCTTTTTGTGAGGAAAGAAAGTTGATTGACCAAGAACTTAAACCTAAAAAAAAATCAAACTGGCTCCCCATACGCTCTATGCAGTAACTAGTCCGGCCGTCAGACTTACTATCATAACAGTAATGGCAAGACATGTTTTGGCACCCTCAATAATAGCAGCTTTGTTAATGTACCACGGAGAGAGTTAACTCATCATGAACAGAAACTGGCCGTGTCTTTAAAGAACTAGGAAATCTAATGCCAGATAAGGGACGATGAAGAAGTATCATGTCCGCAGCAGTTAATGATAATAACTGATAAAGACATTCGTGTAAGTGATATTAAACAAATCCTACCCTGTTTGCCAGCAAAACGGATGCAGCAGCTGCACCTGGTTTAGATCCCTCAATTCCAATATTACCAAGAGCCACATCACCATGGTAATAGACCACACTATTGGTGATTTGGAGGAAGGTGTTCATCTTCCTATCCTTGTAACATAGAGCCCCAGCAGGGTAGGGACAGAAGCCAGATTTGTGAGGGTCAATAGTGATGGTGTCGCATTGGTCCAAAGCTGACAACTGATCGTGGACATAGGAACTCAGATACAACTGAGGCACAAAGCCAGAGTCTTCCGGTGCTTTAAGATAAAAGTTTTTGGGTTGATCACGTAACATGCT